ATTCCTCGGATAAATCTCACGAGAAGGCTGGAAAGCTTTGTCCAATCCACAGTCACCTGATCCTAAAGGTTTCTTCTAAAATTTAAGTCGCATCCTAGAGTTGCAACGGACCAGCTTTGGGAAAAGGAGATGAATTCACCACTCTAAAGAGCCTTGAGAAAGTTGATAAACTGGAATCTTGATTAATTACTGGCCAATCCAGAACTCAATCTTATCCCCTCTACGAACATCAACTTATTGCTGCACATTCTTCTTTAGACAAGCTGTACCTATTAGAGATTACTTTCCATCACAAAGCATTTCACTCTGTAAATCTCCATCCCTATTTAGCAACGTGAGAAGATTGTCTTATTATCTCTAGATTCCCAACTCTAGGTAGCCGTTAGTTGTGCATTTAAGTTGGAAAAGCATTTTGACAATCACATCGCTGATTCTAACTAAAGATCTGAAAGTACATCCTCTCTCCCTAGAGATGTACATCCACTGAGAAGAAGGAAACTTAGGATTCAAAGTAAGTCCAAACTAAGGATTCCATTTATAGATTACTACATTCACTTAGAAGAAGTGACCCCCTCCCGAAGGAATTTTCACTATTAAAATATCCAATTCTCTTGATCCAAACATTCCTCAAAATAGCAAAAAGGTGCCCACTGAACGACCCCTTATCTTGAAATGGGGATAAAATAGATATAAAATGGATAAAGGGACCAATCTAGAGACTATGAAAAGGCCATTAACTTGTGAAGAATAAGTGATAATAAAAAATAAAAAAAAAGGGGGTCACCCTCCAAAGACCTCTCGCTTATCTTGAAACGGTGGATGGTGTAGGACCTCCTACATCACTAGGAAGCACATACACCATCTGTTTGATCGAATGCACATGTTAGATACATTTCGGACACGGATATATTTGCACATGTTTCATACACGTCCGACACGTGGAAAAAGGTATCCTATTTTACTTTTAGTCCATTTCTTTCCCATTTTGGACATGTCAAGGATACATGTGAGGCTCATATGGAGACATAGTGGGGACACAAAGCTGTGTCGACTTGAAAATTTTGATTGAGAATTAAAAAAAAAAAAATCTGTCCCCACTCTACCTTTTACTTACTGCCCTTATATTTGTCCCAACCTTTTTTCCGATAGGAAATAGGAACATTTCATTGACAAGATGAAATTACAAAAAAGGAGATACTCTCAAACGGATTGCAAAAAAAAAAAAAAAAAGACAATTGGTCAATGGGAGGAGGGCTCAAAATTTATCCCAACCTTTAAAACTCATCTGAAAGACAAAAAGAAATTGTGGGGGATGTCCACGTTACTATTTGTTCAAGCACATTTAATATTTTCATGTTACATCTCTGTGTCTTATCTATTTTGAAGTTCCAAATCTGTTAGTATCTATGCACTATTCTTTTAAACAGGTAGCCAATGAGTCTGGCCTACAAATTTATAATTTTAGAAATTTATGTGTCGCTGTGTTCATATCCTGTGTTGTCCGTGCTTCTGGCACATTTTTTGCAAGCCTAACACACTCAACGGACTTAAAGACCTTTCCTATTGCTGTAACCTACTCATTGTTCAAGCACATGTAATATCATGTTAAATTTATGTGTATTATCTATTTTGAAGTAGAAAATATGTTAGTTTATGTGCATATGCACATATATTCTTTAAAAGAGTGTCTGTTCTACATTTGTACATTTTATCAATTGATGTGTCGTTGCATCTGTATCCTTTGTCTGTGTCCATGCTTCTTAGAGTGGCACAACTTATTGCAAGACAAACACGCTTCAACATCCTTTAAGACCTTTCCTTTTGATGAACCTAACTGAAAAAGTACGACTTTTGGGGGTTTGGTTTTTTGTAGAGGTTGGATACCTTAATGAAAGGTTGTGCTTAGAAAAACATAAAGAATAACCTCATTAGAGAAACAGAAAGAATAACCTCATTTGGATAGCAGTTGTTTATAGGTTGTATTTCTGTATCCTTGAGCTCTAGAAACATGAAGAAAAGAAATGTATTGGGAATGAAAGATTTATTTTCTTTCACCATCTTGGTGTTTTATGTTCTATATGAAGCATGAGTGCTAATTGGTTCTCTTTTATGGTTATTTTAATAAATTATGGTGTATGATATTTTTTCTTCAGTCGATGTGTGTCCTCTCGTCCTTAAAGATATAGTTTCATTTTTAGCTCAAATGTTCTATATAGTAATTTTGAGCGCATATGATTATCATCTTCCTTAGGTTCGTCTGCAACTGATTGGGCACAAGATGGAGAGTTTTGTAATTGGATAGAGCAGCATGTATTTGATTCAGAATGTGCTCAGGAGGAGAAGAGATGGTCATCTCAACCTCAATCTTCTATTCGTCTTCCTGAACCAAAACCTTTGTATAGAACGTCCTCTTATCCTCAGCAGCAGCCTACACAACATCACTTTTCTAGTGAACCAATTTTAGTACCAAAATCTTCTTTCACATCATTCCCTCCTCCAGGAAGTAGGTCTCAACATGGTTCACCTCGTCACCTAAATGTTTCATCCCTTCCTGATGGAAGTCAGTTACCCTTCTCTGCACCTAACATCGCCTCTTTATCCAAGTCTAATATGCAGTTAGCTGGGATGCCGCATGGCTTGCATTATGGAGGCAACATGCACCAGTTCACCACTCCCGGCCTTTCTTTTAGTAGCAGGCCACAAAATCAGTGGATTAACAACGCTGGTCTATTACATGGGGATCACTCAAATCTCTTGAACAGTATATTGCAACAGCAACTATCTCATCAAAATGGCATCCTATCCTCTCAGTTATTGTCAGCTCATCAGCAGCTGCAACAGCACAGGCTACATCATCCAGTACAACCATCTTTGGCGCATTTTGCAGCTCTTCAGTCTCAGCTCTATAATGCCCATTCACCATCTTCCCATAGAGCAATCCTTGGATTGACTGATGTGAGAGATCAGAAACCTAAATCACAGAGAGGGAAACATAACATGCGTTCTTCTCAGCAAGGTTCTGAAACTGGTAGTCAAAAGAGTGATAGTGGATCCTTCCAGTTCAGATCTAAGCATATGACAGCTGATGAGATAGAAAGTATTCTGAAGATGCAGCATGCTGCCACCCACAGCAATGATCCTTACATAGATGACTATTATCACCAGGCTCGTGTTGCCAAAAAAGCTGCTGGGTCAAGATCAAAGAATGCATTTTGTCCCTCCCGACTAAGAGAGCTTCCATCTCGATCTCGTAGTGGTTCAGATCAGCATTCTCATTCCACACCTGATTCATTGGGAAAAATACCTTTAGCTTCCATTCGTAGACCTCGCCCTCTTCTTGAAGTTGGTCCTCCATCCTCAGGTTTGTGTGACGGTAGCTCTGAACAGACGATATCCGAAAGGCCTCTTGAGCAAGAACCAATGCTTGCTGCTAGAATCACCATTGAAGATGGTCTCTGTCTTCTTCTTGATATAGACGATATTGATCGGCTATTACAACATAATAAACCACAAGATGGAGGAGTCCAGCTCAGACGAAGGCGACAGATGCTGCTGGAAGGTATGGCAGCGTCACTTCAGCTTGTTGACCCCCTTGGAAAAAGTAGCCATGGTGTTGGCCCGTCTCCAAAGGATGACATTGTGTTCTTGCGTTTGGCCTCTCTTCCCAAAGGTCGAAAGCTTCTTTCTAAATTCCTCAAGCTGATTTTCCCTGGTAGCGAGCTTGCACGAATTGTCTGTATGGCTATTTTTCGTCACTTGAGGTTCTTGTTTGGGGGACTTCCATCTGATCCTGGAGCAGCTGAGACAACCTCTAATCTCTCAAAGACTGTTTCTGCCTGTGTTAACGGTATGGACCTTCGTGCATTAAGTGCTTGTCTTGTTGCTGTTGTCTGCTCATCAGAGCAGCCACCACTACGCCCCCTTGGAAGTTCTGCTGGAGATGGAGCCTCTATTGTTCTGAGGTCCATTCTTGAAAGGGCTACAGAATTATTAACTGATCCTCATGTTGCTAGTAACTGTAGCATGCCTAATCGAGCGCTATGGCAGGCATCTTTTGATGAATTCTTCAATCTCCTTACCAAGTACTGTGTGAGTAAATACGAGACTATAGTGCAGTCATTATTTTCGCAGACACCATCGACCACTGATGTTATAGGGTCAGAGGCAGCCAGAGCCATCAGTCGCGAAATGCCTGTGGAGCTTCTTAGGGCCAGCCTTCCCCACACCAATGAACCACAAAGGAAGCTTTTAATGGATTTTGCCCAGCGTTCCATGCCAGTTTCAGAATTCAGTGCCCATGGTGGAAGTCGTGGACAAATGAATTCAGAATCAGTTAGGGGTTAGGAAGGAAAAACACGATGAAGTTCCAGGTAAATGATGTTACCATTGAGATGGTTATATTCTGCATCGCTCGCTTCCTTCAAGAGGTGAACATTCTCGGTGTTGGATGAGGCAGGTCGTGATGATCGGTAAGTGGTGCGGATGTATCTCCAGGAGCCAGCTTGAGGGGGGGCTTCTACATCCATTTCAGCGTTTTTCGTTTAATATATTAAAAAAAAAACGTTCATAAAAAAATGCTTACTCTGTTTAATAATAGTCATATGCATAAATGTGTATTATCAAAATTGTTAATGGGGTTGTGACGGGAGCTTTATTTTGGTGCTCTGTCTTTAACTTGAGGCTGAAAAGTCGAGAAAACCGCTTGTAGAGGGCAGTAGAAAAATTCTAATACTTTCAGGAGTCCTCTTTTCCAGACATTTTTTATTTGGAAGGTGTATGTTTGTTCAAACTTTCTCAAGGCCATTCTCTCAGTGGTCTCTCTCAACTGGATTACAAATGTATGATGCCTCCTTACTTGGTGACTAAATTTTAGCATTCCCAGTCTTTACTTTATTAATGGACTGGTCTTAGGAAGATAATGCTTGGTGGAGTAATGGTTGGACTGTTGATTTTACTATCTTATTCACATTCTAGAGATTGTTTTCTTTCCGGCCCCGGCCCCCGCCCCCGGAAATATATTTCATTCTCCTGTCTTGATAGATAATTGCCCTCTAATGTGGCTGTTGTATTTTGATTCAATCGAGCGAAACGAATTCTAGTTATCCTATGGTTTGTTCTTGCTCATTTACATTCAACAATATAATATAAGAATGTTAGCAGATTGCAATTGCAAATGAGAATTCTTTGATTGATTGATTGATGAGGTTGGGAGGCATAAACTTTGAATTAGGTACGTGGTTTGTGATACGGATACATGGATCGAATTCTTCTGGTGTTCCTCCTTTGTAGGAACCTCTGAAGAGATTTCTTAATGGAGAAACCTGCATTACCATTTGGCATTTGCAGACTCAACCGTTCTGGGTTGCTCCACCATTGGCTCTTGCTGCTATTCCTCTCTTGGCTTGCTATCCCTAATATGGCTCTTACCTGCAAACATTGTATCCAATTTAGTTCATCTTGGAATCATATGAAAACAAAAGTTGGAGTGAAAAAGAAATAAGGATGAACCTGGAGTTCAGTCAAGTCACAGACCGAAGCTGTTCCATTATTGAAAACCATGATCTGCTTCTGATGATTCAATGGCATGGCCATCCTACACCCATAAACAAAAACCCAAAATCCACTTTCCATGAAAGTTATCAAAAAAACAAGAAGAAGAAGCTGAAGAAAAACGGGGTCTCTCACATGGGAATTGCAGGAGAAGATGGGCAAAGACAAAGCTCCAAACTGAACTCCCTTCCCATTTGCCAAATGCCAATTCCCTTTACCTCTTTTTTCATTTGTTTTCTGTCCCAATAAGACCTCTAAAAATGATATATAAAGAGAGGAAAACAGAGTTGTTTATGGTTTTAGGCAAAAGCTATCTAATTTGAAGAAAATAAGAGACTTTTAAACTGTCAAAAAATATCAACACGTTTACCTTCTAAGCAAATGGGCATGTGCAAAACGATAATTTATTACCAAAAATGGGGATGCCAATCACTCAAAGCATTAGGGTTAGTTGGAGGTCTTGAAGGGATATTGCAAATTTTTCACATGTGAATTTATTCCCCACTTTACAAGGTGTTGGAATTCCATACCCTCCTCTTGTGGCCTTTTTTTGTGTCCATTTTTCACCTCTATCACTACTTTTCTTTATTTTTGGTAATAAATATCCGCACTCGAAGATATCTAGATTCTTTAAGAAATTTAATTATATAATGGCTTCAAAGAAATAGCCTACAAAATACTTATTTAAAACGTGAAGATAAATTTTGCGACAACCTTCTGAGAAACGTCGCACCCTCGAGAAAAAGACTTTCCTAAAGCAAACTCTTTTTTTGGATAAGAAAAATGTGGGATTTCCATTTTTGGAAAAGTATTGGCCTTTATAGATATAGGTGGAGGGGTAGCCCACTACCTAATCTCGTAAATGACCTTGTCGATGTTTTGACTTTTATATTAATTTTAGCAGACATTATTTAGAAAACCTGATTAAAGTGTTTTTTTTAAAGAGTCGAGAACTAAAATTGAGTTAAGAGATTTAGATTTAGAGTAGGATGTGATTTATACACGTAGAGGAACATATTATATATAAATATATTAGTAAAAATATTGTTTTGATGTCTATGTTTTTAGTATAATTTTTATTTAGTTATTTCACAATGTTACATGTTTGATTTAATAAATAAGAAAGTCGCAATGTTAAATAAACATTAGGGTATGGATTAAATATAAAACCCAACCTTATACCAAACCCTCGTCGCCTGCTTCGTTCTTGCCCAGAAATTCTGCGATCTGATTAGCTTCCTTGTAACACAGAATCACATTCAGATGCTCCAATTCCGAGCACTCCTTCCTGCACTCTCCGGCTAAACACAGCCACGAACCGCCGTCCAGCTTCCATGCCGAGTTTCCACTGGATCTCGACGGGACCACCGCTTGCGAGCTTTCTCCCAATCGGCTGAGGCTTCCTTCATTTCGCCGCGCTGATTCCGCTGCCGTGTCTTGACGGAGCTTCACGGCTGTGTAGCCGGCTGCACCAGCCACTGCTCCGGCTGTGGGTGCTACTATGTATATCCATAGACCTTTGAAATTTTCTGTTGCGATGGCTGGGCCTAAGGTCCTCGCCGGGTTCATCGAACCGCCGGTTGCGCGCCTGCAGTATTTTTTATGTGGAAATTTTCATAATCTATTTAATGTTTTGAAAATTACAGAGTGATTTTCTAAAATTGAGAACTACCCGGCGACGAGAATGTTGAGCATTACCATGCCTCCGATTGCAATTCCGGCCAATTCCCCGACCTAATCAAATCAATCGAAGTTAATCGCTGACGGAAACGCCTTCTCTAATCTCTAAATCGAGATTCAACCTCTCAATTTCAGAACAAACAAGAAAAATTTCAGAGAGCAAATCGATTCAGTACCGCTCTGGTATCAGTGGCGACAGCAACAATGACGAACATGAGGAAGAATGTGACGATGAACTCGATCGCGAGGGCCTGACCGGTGCCGACGGAGGGCACGGTGGCGCCGCCGGACATGAACGGACGGAAGACGATCTTGAGGCTGAAAGCGGCGGAAATAGATCCGGATATCTGAGCGGTGATGTAGAGCGGGACGTGAAGCCATGGAAAGTGACGGAGAGCGGCGAAGGCTACAGTGACGGAGGGATTCAAGTGAGCGCCGGAGATGTGACCGATGGAGAGGATTACGGCCATCACCGCGAGTCCTGCGCATATCGCACTCGTCATCAGGCCGTTCTCCGCCGCCTGGTACTTCTCGTTCAGAATGGGCGCCGCCGCTGCGGAGAATAGCATTATGTATGTTCCAATGAACTCCGCCCCTACCTGAATTTCAATATTAAAATGTACCGAAATTTTGATTATATTCTTTTAAAAAATAATAATAATACTCTAATAACAATACTCATAAATTTTTAAAACTTTAATTTTTTTAAATAACTATGAACAAAATTTAAAAAAGAAATCAAATTGAAAACTTCAAAAAATATTTAAAACCTTAAAAAATACCTTTAAATATTTTCAAAAAATTAAAATATATATATTTATTGTCTACCTCAATTTTAAAAAATGTTCATCAATTTCAAAAGTAATATTAAAAATTTTAAAAATAGACGGTCTTCGTCCATTATAAAACTATTTAATAAAAGTTTATGATTTTTTTTCATTAAAAATACAAAATTTATGGATATTTTTTATTAATTTATAAATTTTAAAATACAAAATGGAGCATAAAATAATGATTTTTTTTTATTATTATTAATTTAACTTATTGAATTTTGTCACTAGAATATAAGTATAATCCATAAAAATTAAAAAAAAATCGATCAGATAATTAAAATTGTTACATATTTGTTAAATTTTTATTAAAAATCACGTAAATTTAAAAGAGAATAAAATTTATAATTTAACCTAAAAATAACAATAATATTGTAAAATTTTGCAAAAAAGGGAATTACAATTTTGTTACCTTTTGCAAGAGGGAGAAATCAGAGTAGCCGTTAGTTGGCGCCATTGACACTTGGCCCAGTAATCAACTACCACGTCTTCACCGGACGGGCATTGGAGCCGCCGTACCTGTCTACAACGGCCGGAGGTTAGGGCGGAGCTGCTGGTTGTTGTTCTTCTTTTCCTTCTTTCTTCGTTCCCCTTTGATCTTAAAGCTTTATTAAATAGGATTTAGGATCGTTGACATTTTAATCTCGTTGACTTCTAAAATATTGCATAAATATTACATCCCACCACTTCACTCTTCTAATAAAAAATTAATTATTTTAAATATTATCTTGGTTTACATTTTATATATTTTTAAACTTTAATTTATTTTATAACTTTATACCATTTCTCAATTTATTTATCTAAACAAGTCGTGCACCATTTTTTAAAATCAACTTGTAACGTATTTTATATATATAAATAATATGTTACAATTTAATATTTTGATAATTATTGTAATTTAGATAATAGTTTTAAAACATTTACTAGAAATAAAAGAATTTGAGTTTTTTTTTTTTTTTTTTTTTTTTA